CAAAGAGCAAACCTGAGGTTTTTTCAGGGATTTTGTAGTTGACTCAAATGAACATTTTTAAAAAATACAAAAGTTTCAAGCACTTAGTATTGTACTTGCTGGCATGCAAAGGTGATATTTCACAGTGTTTTGTCCTCCTTAACTGTGAATACACACACATACAGATTTGTGGCAGGGTTATTTTGGAATAATGATGAAAAACACAGAAGTGATAGAAAAAGCAATCTTTGAGTTGCAGGGATGTAAGAGGTGTCACCTTCATGTGGCTGCTTTCCTGAAAGGCTGTCAGATGACTGCCTGGTAAATATTTATACAGCATTCATTTCAGAACCTTGCAAACTAAGTGGTGTTTGTGTTTATCAAGAAAAATAATTTCTGTGTTATGTAAAGTACCACTGAATGTTGATTGTTGACCATTTACTTTGATTTGAAGTGGCAAGCTACAAACATTGAGAGTCTAGAAATAGTCCCATCTGAAAAGCAAAACTCCAACAAGTTTGTGGTTCAATAATGTAGGGCTTAGGGATTCCAGGAAAAAAACATATTAGTCTGCAACAAAAGAAACTAGTATTTTGAGTCCCAGTCCGGTCAATGGAATGGAAGAAAGATTCATATGGAACTGAGAGAGCACAATCACTTTGTTAGCTGTGCCAGGAAGCCACCCTAAATCCTATTGTGTTTATCAAGAAAAGTCATTTTTGTGTTATGTGGAATGCCACTGAATGTTGATTATTCAAAGGATGACCCAAACAATTACCATCCGGGCAGCCTCACATCGATACCAGGCAAGATTCTGGAAAAGATCATTAAGGAAGTGTGCTGTAAACACTTAGAAACAAATGCGGTCATCGCTAATAGTCAATGCGGATTTATCAAAAACAAGTAATGCAGATTAGTCTGATCTATTTTTTCAATAGAGTTACAAGCTAGGTAGATGCAGGGTATGCCATGGATGTAACATATCTGGATTTCAGTAAGGCCTTCAACAAGGTCCCCCATGACCTTCTGGCAAACAAGTGTGGAGTAGGCAAAACTACGGTTAGGTGGATCTGTAATTGGTTAAGCGAACGAACCCAAAGAGTGCTCACCAATGCTTCTTCTTCATCCTGGAAAGAAGTGACGAGTGGACTGCCTCAGGGTTCCATCCTGAGCCCGGTCCTGTTCAACATCTTTATTAATTATTTAGATCAGGGGTCCTCAAACTACGGCCCACGGGCCACTTCCGGCCCGCCAAGGGCACTTATCCGGCCTGCGGAGGAGGAGCGTCCCCCCCCCACACACAGTGACCCTCCCTTGGCTGGCTCACGCTATCCGTCAGGCCCGATGGGCAACGTGAACCAGCCAAGGGCAGCTGCTCCGCGTGGCCTACTTGCACGTAAAGCACCTCGTGAGGTGCTTTACGCAAAAGTAGGCTGCACGGTGCTGCTCCTCCCTTGGTAGGCTCATGCTATCCGTCAGGCCCGATGGGCAGCATGAGCCAGCCAAGGGAGGCTTCTCCTCATAGCCTACTCCTGCGTAAAGCACCTTGCGAGGTGCTTTACGTGAAAGTAGGCCACGCGGTGCTGCTCCTCCCTTGGCAGGCTCACGCTATCTGTCAGGCCTGATGGGCAGCGTGAGCCAGCCAAGGGCAGCTGCTCCGCGTGGCCTACTCGCACGTAAAGCACCTCATGAGGTGTTCTATGCAAAAATAGGCCGCGTGGTGCTGCTCCTCCCTTGGCAGGCTCACGCTATCCGTCAGACCCAATGGGCAGCGTGATCCAGCCAAGGGAGGCTGCCCCAGCGCTCCATGCAGTCATGCCAGCCACATGACCTTGGAGGTGTTTACGGACAACGCCGGCTCTTCGACTTAGAAATGCAGATGAGCATCACACCCCAGAGTCAGACACGACTGGACTTCATGTCAGAGGAAAACCTTTAACTAGGAAAATTGTGGAAGATCCAGGGTGGGAGAAAGAACTCTTGTCTGTTGGAGGGAGGTATGAATGTTTCAATTGGCCACCTTGATTACCATTTCATAGCCTGACAGTTTTTAGGGAGAATCCTTTGTTGAGAGGTGATTAGCTGGCCCTAAATCTAAAATTATAACTGTAAATAAAGAACAACACTCAAACACAGGGGAACTCCAGACAAGAGAGTTCCCCTGTGTTTGAGTGTTGTTCTTTATTTACAGTTATAATTTTAGATTTTTTTAATACTGGTAGCCAGATTTTGTTCAGATTAGAGATAGGAAGATTTCCCATTCTCTGCTCCTGGAATTACTGCCTAAAAAGGGCTAGAAAGAACCCCCTCTAAGGGCCCTTCCACACAGCAAAATAATATATGTGCAATGTGCATAGGATTTTTTTATTGATTTTTTTTTTAAAAAAAACTATAGTCCGGCCCTCCAATGGTCTGAAGGTCAGTGAACTGGCCCCCGGTTTAAAAAGTTTGAGGACCCCTGATTTAGATGAAGGGTTAGAAGCCATAATCATCAAGTTTGCAGGTGACACCAAATTGGGAGGGATTTCCAATACCCCAGAAGACAGGAGCAGAATTCAAAACGATCTTGACAGATTAGAGAGATGGGCCAAAACTAACAAACTGAAGTTCAACAGTGACAAATGTGAGATACTCCACTTAGGCAGAAAAAATGAAATGCAAAGATACAGAATGGGGGATGTGTCACTCGTGAGCAGTATGTGTGAAAAAGATCTTGGAGTCCTCATGGGCAACAAGTTAAATGTGAGCCAACAATGTCATGCAGTGGTAAAAAAGCCAATGGGATTTTTGCCTGCATCAATAGAAGTATAGTGTCTAGATTCAGGGAAGTCATGCTACCCCTCTATTCTGCCTCACCTGAAATACTGTGTCCAGTTCTGGGCACCACAATTGAAGAGAGATATTGACAAGCTGGAATGTGTCCAGAGGAGGGTGACTAAAATGATCAAGGGTCTGGAGAACAAATCCTATGAGTAGTGGCTTCAAGAGCTGGGCATGTTTACCCTGAAGAAGAGAAGGCTGAGAGGAGACATTATGGCTATGTATTCCGGCCATGTGAGGGGATGTCATAGGGAGGAGGAAGCAAGCTTGTTTTCTGCTGCCTTGGAGCCCAGGACGTGGAACAATGGCTTCAAACTACAAGAAAGGAGATTTCACCTGAACATTAGGAAGAACTTCCTGACTGTGAGAGCTCAGCAGTGGAACGCTCTGTCCCAGAGTGTGGTGGAGGCTCCTTCTTTGGAGGCTTTTAAGTAGAGGCTGGATGGCCATCTGTCAGTGGTGCTTTGATTGCAATTTTCCTGCTTTTTGGCAGGGGGTTGTACTGGATGGCCCATGAGGTCTCTTCCAACTCTGTGATTCTGTGATTCTACAATTCTATTAGGTAAGTTGAAGGAAGTAAATTTCCATTAGAATTTTCCATGTGGCTTCTGCTACACTATTGTACTTCTGGCTGTACAAAACAACTTGATAGCAACTTGATTCCAATTCAGTGGCTGATAAATTCCCGGGTTGTGGGGAATCCCAAGCTCCATTTGGATGTAGGAACTACCACTGTCCTCTTAGACTTTTAGCATACAACCTTGAGTATATATTGCACAGTGATTACCATTAGCACTGTTGGCTGACATTCTGTCTTATTTTCATGTTGGTGTCCTTATAACAAAGTGAATACAAATGTCTGTTGCTTTTTCCTAAAACAAAATAAAGCCCCTACAATTTTAATTGGAAACTTAATGAATGAGAAACTGGCACCAAATGCTGTAACTGGAGAAGTAAACTAACTTATCCTTTAGTCTCTTTCCATCATTCTGTTTAGAGACTTGGATGGTTGTTCTTTGGCTATTTTCAAACATCACAATTCGAAGTGGCTCCAGTGGTAAACACAGGCTTATTTTGGCATTCTTGTAGCCTGTCATTTGCTCCAGGGTGAGTGATCTCAAGCAACTAATACATGGATGTTAATCAATCAAAATAAATTCTGCTTTTATGGCAGGAGCAACACATGGGTCTCCTCCAATACTCTGTGGGACAGAGATGTATGACTGTGTAATATTTCAGCTAACTTGCTGAAATAAAGACACATTTCATTTACTGCTTAGTTCTTGTGATGGTTTGATGAGTGTCTCCCTTTGTGTTCCTAGTGAGGAGTCTTAAACCATACAAATCTTTAGTTCTTATTGTTACAAGGGAAACAAAATGCTTATGTCAAAGTTAAGTGTCAGGAGACGTAACCTTTTATGACAGTACTGGGAATTGTATCTCCCTCCAAAAAACGACCATTTTCTCCAGCCTCTTGTCAAGCCTAAGAAACAGAGATTATTTCAAAACATAGTTAATAGGACACACTATATACATATGCATAGCCATTCTGCAAATCCTCACAAAGACAGGGTGAATTCATCTTTCTTTCATGTAAATTTGTGGTGCAGTCATCTGAAGACACTTATTTTCTATGCATGTGTGGGGTACAAGTAACCCATATGTAAAGTATCCCTTTCTGGGACCTGTAACATGTTTTAGACCTTTATCATGTTTTATGATGCATCCAGAGTGATCACTGGCTATTTATTTATTTATCGTGTCAGAAGCAAATTGAGAATGCAGTTAAAAACTTGGCATTATTTGAAATTTCCTTTTACCAAAAGCTGGCCATTTTAAGTGTCCCTGGTGTCACTGTAAGAAGGTCCTCCATTGTGCATGTGGCAGGGCTCAGACTGCTTTGTAGTAAGTGGTCTGTGGTTTCCTCTTCTCCACACTTGCATGTCGTGAACTCCCATTTCTTAAGATTGGCTCTGCATCTTGTAATGCCAGAGCACAGTCTGTTAAGCGCTTTCCAAGTCGCCCAGTCTTCTTTATAAACTATATCTGTTTGATCTATTATGAACATATATATTATATGATGATGGCTGATCTATTATAAACCTCTAACTTCATGTACATTTTTCCCTCCCCCCCCCCCCCCCGTCCCGGGTTGACAAATATCATGTCCTCTGAATTGATACCACTTTCTTTTTTCATAGGAGGATGTTATAATAAAATCAGAAGAGCGGGCAAGTGAGATTCAGCGGTTGGAGCAGACCATCCAAGATCTGAAAATAAAAATTGCAGAGTTGGAGAAACAATTTCCAGCATCAGAGGTGCTGATTTCCGGTAGCAATCAGGGGAAGGAGAGTACACAGACCACCTGTGAAGAGCTCTTCAGTTCAGCCCTTAAAGAACAGGAATTGCAGACCCTGTCTAAGACTATAACTGCAAAATCTGTGCAGACTTCACCAACAGACGATTGTTTAATACACACAATGCCTTCAGCCAGCACACTGCCACAAGCACCTCCCCTCTTGAAAGGGAACCTGAGTCAAGGGCCAACTCAACTATTGCCAACACTTGAGCCACAGACCACCTTTTGCTCTGAAATATCTTTAGTTCTCTCACCCAAACGGATTTCAGTACAATTGGATGATATCCAAGAAAAATTAACTACATTGCATCTTTCAGGACCTGATGCTAATTTGCCAGTTTTATTGCAAGAACAACCAGTATCATCTACAGCTCTAAGTACTGAGAGTTTTACTTGCAGTGAAGCTTCCCCTTCCTTATCTTCTCACCCTGTTTTGGGATCCCATCCTGGACTTTCTGACACAGGAGTGTCTCCCTCCCTGCCTGGAGCAGGAGTCCCATTTGTAATGCCATCCTCTCCCAGTTCAGGTGTACCATCCCATTTTTCCTCAGGACATGCCCTGTCTTCGCTTCCTTCCCCACTGTTGCCTAGCGGAGGGATTCCTCCTCCACCAGCTCTTCCAGGAATGGACATGGTACCTCCTCCCCCACCTCCTTTGCCTGCAGCTGTAATGCCTACTGAGATCCCGCCTCCACCTGATATAGGGGTGCCACCTCCAACATCTTTGCCAGGGGCAGCTGTTCCTCTTGCACCATCTTTACCAGGCATGAGTATGCCCCCTGCTCCCCCACCTTTGCCAGACATGGAAGTGCCACAACCTCCACCTTTGCCATGGACAGATTTTTCCTCCCCTCATCTTTTATCAGGAACAGGCATACCTCCTCCTCCTCCACCACCACCACCAGGAATAGGGGTTTCATTGCATCCACCACATTTACCAGGCATGGGGACTCCTCCTGCTCCTCCTCCTCCACCTGGAATGGGAGTGCCACTTCCTCCACCTCCACCACCTTTACCAGGGATGTGGGGACCTCCACCTCCACCACCTTTGCCAGGCATGGGGGGACCTCCACCTCCTCCACCTCCACCACCTTTGCCAGGCATGGGAGGACCTCCACCTCCACCACCTTTGCCAGGCATAGGGGGACCTCCACCACCACCACCTTTGCCAGGCATGGGGGGTCCTCCACCTCCCCCACCTTTGCCAGGCATGGGAGGACCTCCACCTCCACCACCTTTGCCAGGCATGGGGGCTCCTCCACCTCCTCCACCTTTGCCAGGCATGGGGGCTCCTCCACCTCCTCCACCTTTGCCAGGCATGGGGGCTCCTCCACCTCCTCCACCTTTGCCTGGTGCAGGACCTCCCCCTCCTCCACCACCTTTGCCTGGTATGGGTGTGCCACCTCCTCCATCTATTCCACATGGTTCTGGGTTTCTTCCACCTCCCTTGCCAAGTGGTTTGTTTGTAATGGGAATGAACCAGGAAAAAGGTAGCAGGAAACATGCAATAGAACCTTCTCGACCAATGAAGCCTCTTTACTGGACAAGAATTCAACTTCATAATAAAAGGTAACAATAAATGTTGAAGTCATAAATAATTGCAATAGAACTGGAAAAAAAAGGTATATGAAGTCACTCTACTTTGTTTTTCTTTCTATGTATTAAAGACTAGGAATCATGTTTAATAACCCATATTTTATATTACATTTTACATATTTATAATAAAATCTTGGGTAACTGGGATGTTTTTTCTGTATATGTTTATAGAAAAATATTACCAGATGGTGTTGACCATATTCTGGTTGAATGTGAACATTTGGAATTTCCAGGGCATCAATGTGTGTTATGCTCTTTTCCGAAACAAGTGTAACAATAATATGTATTATTTGCTGAATGCTCCTTTATAAATTGTCCCTTTCCAGAGAGCTTTCAGATATAGTCACCTGAAGCACTAGTTCTTTCCTTTTTGTGCAATCCTTACATTGCTTGCCTGCTGCCAAAATCACATGTGAGTAGCATTTCATAAACTGGTATCCATATGTACCTGATCAGTTATTCCTGTGATTTTGAACAGCCTGCAAATGCCCCAGCATTTTGATAGTATTTGATTACATGTTGCACATGTCCACGAACACTTTCACATTGTAAGGATTCAGTGCTGCTGTTACAGAACGGTTATACAAAATGGTTACACAGCCCAACAAAAATTTTCTTGGTATATTAATTTTTAGCCTGAAAATTGCATTGAATAAACCGCATCACCTCTAGTATTCTAAATATGGTTATCATGATTCTTTATAGGCAAACAGATGGTGACTGGTATATGCCATAAGTTATATATCTTTAAAAAAAACCTAGAGATGTTAGGGGAAAATTGTGCAATTTTTGGAATCAATTGGTCAGATATACCCAGAAACAAGTCTAACATTTGAGGCACCAAAATGTGTGTTGGCCAATGTCATCACATTTTTTAAAGTCTGACTTGCTTTTCCCAGCAATTTGAAATGTGGGAGGCTGACAGAGAATGAGATGCGGAAAAGGATTTATGATGCAGCTGAGGAATCTAAGATAGAACATGACAGATAATTTGACTATTATGGGCAATGGAAGCATATCTGAGTTTTTCTTCTGTTATTTTAATTCTTCTATGTGTCCAAAACAAGAGATACATTCTAAAGAAACAGTTTCTAAGTATCACATTTTCAGGTCATGTTTTCATAAATGTCCAGTTATTGCCCTGAAGCTCCACATGAATGTAATAGTAGGCTTTTTTGAGGAAAAAAAATCTTCTCTGCCTGCTCATTAGTATAGTAATGTTCTGGGACTTCCTCCAGAACTAGATCCTGACATCCAAACAAGTTGTGTCCTAAACCAGATGGTCCAAGATGTATTTAATGAGATTTAAATTTACCATGCAATGTTGTGCCTTCTGCTAGAAATTAAGAAAAGTAAGATTGGTCTGGAGGAATGGTCATTATATGTCACTAGAAAAAAAGGAGTACTATTATTTGGTAATTCAGTATTATTACAATAAGAATGCTTCCAGATAGAAGATCACCTAGAAATACCAGTCAAAAGACATTTTGCAGCTATTACATCTTTTGTTGCAATAAGGAAGGGAAATGCTTTTAAACAGAGGCTGGATGGCCACCTGTCAGGGATGCTTTGATTGTGCTTTCCTGCATGGCAGGGGGTTGGACTAGATGGCCCATGTGGTCTCTTCCAACTCTATTATTCTATGATTCTATGAAATATTTGTATGTTTTTTTCTTAATTCAAATATGAAAACAGCAGAGGAAAAACAGGACACAATGACATGATCTGTATCATGTGCACCAATCTGGAAAAAATCCATTCACGACATACTCATAAAATGTCATTATCCCACATATTTGAGAACCACTGTTGAATAGATGGGGCAATTTGAGTGCTTCAATCAAGTTGTGATCCTAGGAATGAAATAGATTAATGTCTGAACCCACAGAAGTTACTTGGATTATTCTATCAACAAAGCAACTATCTTGTTGTTGATTCCTGTGGTGAGAAGTATAGGAGCTCACACCTGCTTGGAAGCTATGCCCTTAGATAAAGAAGTTCTGCTCTTCTATTTGGGAATGCTTGTGGTTGCTCAAAGAGGATGGCGATGAATGTGCTCGAAAAAGGCACACTCTTTCTTATTATTTTCACATGTTGTTTCCTTTAAACATTGGAAACTACTTACAAGACTGAGGCATGTCTAGAAATGAAAAACACAAAAGGAAATATTTAGGGATTTTGACAAGAAAGCATGCAAGAGATGTTCTAGTATATAATGTGGGTAGATGAGCCTGTGTCATAGAGCACTGTTGTCTCTGTGTGTGGCCATGTTGCTGGAGTTGTTTCCAAAATGTTTCATGGGACATTTTTCTGTGTAACACAAAACTAAATTGAAGTTCTATCTGTGACTTCTGTGCGGCTGGCATGTGTCCACTACTGTGCACATTTCCCTTTTCCTCATTTTCTTACCATCTGTAAGATTTCTTTTACATCCAGGCCGCTTTCTCAGTTAAGGAAGATAAGTCCTGTTTAGCTCAGTGTATTCTGCTAGCAGTTTATTACAAAGAACAGAGGAAGATCATGATAACATTCTAAAACATGGAGAGACAGAGATTCTTGCTGTGAATTCATTTAATTCGTGAACCAAAAAATATTATGAGCTCTGCATTTAACTGATGGCATCTTTTACAAAATGTAGAACTTTTTCTTTCAGTTCTGGTTAGCACTGCCCTGTGTAAACTTTATGGTCTGTTTTATGGGACTTTAAAAAACACTTATTTTTTCAGCTTAATTGGCTTGCTTGAATTCAGTAATAATTTGTAAATATTTTCCGGCCCATATTATCTTATTTGATTACTACCATACTAATTATGGCTAGCAAACTTCAGATATGAATCTAAAGTTGCAGCAATTAGAACATGAATATATATATATTTAAATATAAACATAGAGAATGATAAGAAAAGTTGTTCTGTATAGAAAATGCGTATCATTTTTGCTTTACTATGTGGAAGGTATAAATTTGTACAATTTAATTTTTGTAAAATCCACTTAGAAAGCAATGAATGCTACTTTCAGTAGCACATAAAAATAATATTCATCATCTATCTTCATTCCACTATTTTGTGACTATTAAGTCTGGTATTGCCCTACATAGGTCTTTTGCTTAACTTTAGAGATTCTAGTGCTTCACTTGTGTGGGAAAAAATTGAAGAGCCTTCCATAGATTATCATGAATTTGAAGAACTGTTTTCTAAAACAGCTGTTAAAGAGAGGAAGAAACCCATTTCGGACACCATCACAAAGACAAAGAACAAACAAGTGAGTAACCTTGCAATTTTTCTTTGGATAAGATGTGAATGGGGAAATATTAGGCAAATCTACTAGAAAGAAGGAGCAGGTTCAGCAGATCTGTCTGCAGAGAGCTTTTGGTTAGTATATGTAGAAATTTTAAATAAAGATAAATTTAGCTTGGGAAAATAGAGACAGAGTTCTTAGGTACTAAGCCAAATTTACTATATGTGTGTGTGTGTGTAAAGAGAGTAATAAAAGCTGTAAATATATAGAATTTGTGCAAGACAGAACAGAGAAATTGGATACAAGTGATTCTGTACAACCAAGAGGCATGTGCAAAGAGTGATTCAAGGCAATAAGACCCTTTAATATTGTGTAAGGATTGGCCTTGGAAGAACTCACCTTACCTGCTGGAAGTATTGGAGGGATGTGAAGAATACTCATTAATGTTTATTTTTTCAACTCATGAGAAGGAAAAGGAGAAAAACCACAAGATTTCTTGAGTTTTCAGGCTGGGGAAAATAAACTTGTGCAAAAACACAGATTTTTATTTGCACAAAACCAGAATGTGTTTGGGGGAGAAAAAAATATATTTTATGTACAATCTAATTTTTTGGCACAGAAAGTACAGGCAAGAAAACTGCATGTATTTCTGCTGTACAAGAATCTTCATATGTATGCCGTTTCTCTGGATTGTCTCCAATTTGTTCATTTTTATTTAGTTAGTGCCTATACATGGATTCCTGTGCAAAAACCAATTGCTCCCACATTTAGAGCTGTTTTCCTTTTATTTTCTGTGCCAACTAATACTCAATATTATGATTTTGGAAAACAGAAACTGGTGAATTTTGCACATAATACAACGCATTGCTCCCAAACAAGTTTTCTAAGCAAGAAAACCATTGATATGTTTTGCACAAATGAATTACAGCATTCATTGTAAGCAAAGTGCTTGAAATTTTTGCACAAATCCCTGTATTCTCACAGAATGGGGAGAAAATTATTGCAATTATCCATCTGTGCATGCAAAAATGAAATAAGTAAAGATTTACATCTGCAGGGTTTGATACCTGAGAGGAGGAGTAATATGGAATGGCCTCTCTGTATCTCAGTTGATAGGCAGCTCCTCATTCCTTGCCTATAACAGACTGAATAATCTTGAATAAGGGGAGCCACATTTTCTCAGTTGTGCAGGTCTGATTTTGCGTTAAGGTAGCTTAAGTCAAATCCAGCTGCTGGTATTGTGTTTTGTTTATTCCATTCTCCATTTGAGTTACAATGTTGTTATAGTTACTGACATGGAAAATTCTGATTGACATTTTTTGTGATTTCCCTCCCCTGCCCTAATAACAACTGTTGTTGATATTAGCCACTTTGAGTATCTTTTTAGAGAATATAAATAAATAGAATAATAGATTATAATAATTGTGGTCTAGGTTACTGCTTCTTAAAGTGTGGGTCCTGGTCCCAAATAGAGTGTCCTTAGTCCCAAAAGAAATTGGCAACAGTAAAAGATTTCTGAACATCTCCCAGTGGTTATTTTAGGTATTTACCTTTTAGGCAATGTTTACAGTGGACTCTGCAGAGGATCCTTCAAATGTACTTCTAAATTTTTGATTTTATATCTATTTTATATACTCATATACATGGGATCATGTCAAAATTTCTTGGGCGGAAAGGAATTGTGAGTGGAAAGGTTTAAGAAGCTTGGTCTAGGTAAATGATACATTGAATACTGTAATGACCTCATCACACTAGAGCAGTGATTCTCAACCTGTGGGTCGCCAGATGTTTTGGCCTTCAACTCCCAGAAATCTTAACAGCTGGTAAACTGGCTGGGATTTCTGGGAGTTGTAGGCCAAAACACCTGGGGAGCCACAGGTTGAGAACCACTACACTAGAGCATGGGTCCACTTTAAATTCAGTTTCTGCCTTCTGCAGAATTCTGGGGCTTGTACAGGGTGAGGCAGCATAACTTCTTTTTTTCAAAACTTAATAAAACCCATTGTATGAATCAGAATTTGTTTTTTATAATGTGATCTTCAAAACTACTTGTTTTACGTAGTTTTGAAGATCAAATTAGGTTGGTGACATCCCCATTCTCCATACACTGAGTAAACCAATTTCTGGCATTTGTCATGACTCTTGCCAACATAGCAGGCAATATGTTGACTATTTCTTCCTGGATGTTGGTCTTCAAATCTTGTAGGATCCTTGGACAGTTCACATAAACATAGGATTTAAAAAAAAACCATAGAAAAAATCACAAGGGGCCAAATCTGGAGAGCGGGCTGGCCACTCCAAATCAGCTCGAAAAGTAGGCCTCAATGGCAAAAGCACGCTCCTCACTGTTCCAACACATGATGGCGACTAAACTGTGTCAGGACAAAACTTTATACTCCTGCCTCTCAAACGAGACCACTAGCACTCCGCTATGTCTTCAACTGGCTGAATGGCGTGCATTTTTAAAAGGAATTTATGCTGCCTCACCCTGTACTTTAGGGAGGGGTGGTTGAACTGTTCAGCCAGAGAGGTCCTGGGCCTCACAAACCCTAGAGGCAGAAACCGGATTTGAAGTGGATCCATTATCTGGTGAGATGAGACTGTAAGAAAACATAATATACAAATTAATGAGGTGTCCTGCTAAATCATTTTATTGGTGATTCCTTAGCAAAACTTTATAGTATTTCAAAGTAAGTATATTTCCCAACTCATGGTGAAGGAAAGATGAGCAGCATGTGTCTTTCCCAGAGACCCACATGGTTCCTCTTGGTTCTGATGTAGAGTAGGAATGCCTATCAGTCAGAGGCAGCAGGGTCCAGGACAAAGTGAAGACTTAATTCAGGTCCTCTCCCAGCTCAAATAGTCTGATTCCCCTACCAGTCAGACGCAGCTCCTTTTGCATGTAGGGAGCAGGGCCAGGACCAAGTGAAGATCCAATTCAGGTCCTCTCACAGTCCATATAGTCTGCTTCCCCTATCATGCCAACAGCCAGTTATTTTTATCTACCTTCCCTCAAGATTGGGGTGTTTATGGAAATGGTAGTTTTGTTAGTGGGGTAACAGTGCTAATACTGTTGTCACTACTTTTGAGAATTGGGACATAAGGACTGGAGCCAACCAGGGAGTATATTCAGTATTCTGGTCCCCTAAAGTGTCCCTGGGAGTGTGACAACCAGGTTACTCCGATCTTGGGAGGAAATGGTTCTGCTTCATTCCCAACTAGTAGGTGAGTAACACAATGACTTCTTCCTGAGTGGATACATGCATCTCCCATTCCAGCACTTCCAAATAACTGACCTTCACTAGCAGATCGATTGACAACCAGTTGACAGGAGAGTTTATTGATGTCTGGATCCAGAGCCATGCTGTGGGCCAAGCCTCTTGAGCCGTAACCAATAAAATTATGGTCTTTGCCATCCAAGCAAAATGTTGTCTGCATTCATTCTGGCTAAACACAAAGCTGTACTGCCACAACTGCAAAACTGTTTTTTTTAATGGGATACCATCAGTTACAAACATCAATGCCCCCATGAGATGCACATTTGACACTGCAAATGTTTCATAAAGACACAGAAATTGCTTTCCAGATTTCTTAAAAGCTTTTGTTTTATTGTTAGAGGAATTAGAGAGAGCTTTATTGTTAAAGGAACAATCATCCAGATATCAGTTGTCTTCTGAGGAAATTTTGCCACACCATTTGAAACAGTCTATACTCAAATGGATGTGTCTACTCAGGGAATTTTGACTTTTATTAACATATTATGAGCAATACAAATCCCTGCAAATAATAAAGTAATGGCTACTGACTTGGTTTGGCAAACAGTGGTTAAACAGGCAGGCAGTAGTTGTGGTTAGACATTAGTGGTTTAGGTTTTTAATGTCTGGCTGTATTTATTTTCTTTGCAATGGTAAGCTTTTTATTATATTATTTTTTAAAGAATAATTTTGAGAAATGGAGCTGCCTACTCATAAAGTTCTTTAAAAGGACATGCTTTCTGCAAAACAAACTTATCAAGGGTTGAATGGAATACAGCCCAAGGGTATGAATATACAGGGTTAGTCAAAATGAATAGGCCAATAAGAAAATTAATTTTAGACGAATGTATGTTTATTGTAACCAAACTACAGCTACGTAGCGACAGATAAACTATCAAAGTTTTGTCTCACCTTCAGAGATGTTCGATATGGGCGCCCCGTGTGACACGGCAGATGTCCAAGCGATAGTCCAGTTCATTCCACATCCGTTGCAGCACATCCGACGTAATGGCATCGCATGCAGCAACGTCTGGGAAGGTGTTCGTTGAGGTCCTAACCCTAACCCTAACCCTACCCTAACCCTAACCCTAACCCTATCCCTAACCCTATCCCTATCCCTAACCCTAACCCTAACCCTATCCCTAACCCTATCCCTAACCCTAACCCTAACCCTAACCCTAACCCTTGAAATTCTCGCTGGACCGTAATTACTGACATTGTTTTAGCAAATGTCATCACACAAAACGCCTTCTCTTTGCTTGATTCCGCCATTTTGAAAACAGCGACCCCTAGCGACGCCTAGCGGCATTAACGTACATGTGTGTTGCTCAAAAAAAACTTTGATAGTTTATCTGTCGCTACGTAGCTGTGGTTTGGTTACAGTAAACATACATTCGTCTAAAATTAATTTTCTTATTGGCCTATTCATTTTGACTAACCCTGTATAGAGCTTCATTACAGGACTTTGGTCAGTATAGCTCACAACTGGAATTTGGAAAAATGTTTTTTGGACTACAGCTTACAGAATCCCCCAACTATCACAGCTACTAATCATGCAGTTGGTGATTCTGGGAGGTCTAGCCAAATTCTCCCTGGGATCAGTAAGAAAAAACCTGGATATATTTATTATTGTTCTTTTGCACATAATAATACATATTTAGTGATGTATTAATATATGGCATTGCATTGTTGCCTTTGTAAGGCCACCCTGAATCCCCTTCGGAGTTGAGAAGTGCGGGATATAAATGTGTTAAATAAATAAATAAATAG